CTCCTAATACACAAACCCTTTGCCATATAATTCATCAGTCCCTCCCACTAAAGGCATTGGTGAAAATTCTCATGCTTTGACTTTGGGCTCTGCCATGTTGTTTTTACTAACGGATGTTAGCGGACTGGAGGCATGAGGCTTGACATGCACTTGGTGGTTGGGTTTGCTTTCTTGTACCTTTTGATCACCATGAGAGTAACATACATGGCTCACCTCGCTAAGCTCAGGAGGAGAACAGGAGATGTGTAGAGCACAGCTACCCCAGCTGACCCACAGACCATCAGGGAGAAGCAAAGCCACCCCAGAGTAACCCAGCCAAGATCAGTTTCTGAAACTCTAGCGAATCTGCAAACTGTATGCGCCCAATAAATGCTTGTTGTAAACCACCACCAAAATTTTGTGTTATTGTGTAGCAGTATTTGAATAATACAAATAACAACAGGCTTTTTTTTGTTTTTTTTTTTTTTTTTTGATGGAGTTTCTTGTTGCTCTGGCTGGTGTGCAGTGGCGTGATCTCAGCTCACTGCAACTTCCACCTCCTGGGTTCAAGTGATTCTCCTGCCTCAACCTCCTGAGTAGCTGGGATTACAGGCATGTGCCACCATGCCCAGCTAATTTTTTATATTTTTAGTAGATATAGGGTTTCATCATGTTGGCCAGGCTGGTCTCGAACTCCTGACCTCAGGTGATCCACCCGCCTCAGCCTCCCAAAGTGCAGGGATTACAGGCACCGGGCCCAAAAGGCTTCTTTTACTCCCTTTCTTCTTCTGACTCTTGGCATTCTGCATCCCTTCTCCTCAGTTCTCTTCTGAGCAATCTGCTATTGTGAAAATAATTGGCTTTAGGGTCAGAAAGTTGTGACTTTGAACTCATTCTGTGAATGACTAGGAGGCTTGAATATGCTGCTTTTCTCCTTGGAGCCTTGGTTTCCTAATCTGTGAAGTAAGAAAAAAATACCTGCGATGACTCAATAAGCTACATTAAGCAACCAGCATACAATAATCAGGCTACACTCCAGAACTGAGTGTAACTGACCAGAAGGGATCACAAACTGAGCAAAAGCAGCGGTTCCTTGTTCGTTCTGCACTCTCCTCATACAAAATTCCATTCCTTTTCCCCCAAATTTGTTCTTCTTAGGCTCAGGCAGTTTTACCGTAGTGTGTTCTCTCTGCCTCCAGCACTGTTGTAAAGATGATATTTCTTATTCCTTTAATGGCTGTTGGCTACATCCATTCTCCAGGGACAATTCATTTTAAGGAGTGCTTTTTATGTTTGGCCTTCTTCTTTGAGGTATGTCTCCTGTGTGTGTGTGTATGTGTGTGTGTGTGTGCCTACACAGTCATGCATCACTTAACAGTGGGATATGTTATGGGAAGTGTGTCATTAGATGATTTCGTCATTGTGTGACCATAGAGTGTATATACACAAACACAGATGCTATAGCCTACTTCACACCTAGGCTATATGGTACAGCCTATTGCTCCTAGGCTACCAACCTATATAGCATTTTACTGTACTGAATACAGCAGATGATTGTAACACAATGGTAAGTATTTGTCTATCTAAGCACATCTAAACATAGAAAAGGTACAGTAAAAATACCATGGGAAAGATAAAAAATGCTCCACCTGTAGGGCACTCACCATGAATGGAGCTTGCAGGACTGGAAGTTGCTCCAGGTGAGTCAGTGAGTGAGGGTGAGTGAATGTGAAGGTCTAGAACATTACTGTACAGGACTGTAGACTTTATCAACATGGTATACTTAGGCTACACGAAATTTTTACAAATATCTTTCCTTCTTCGATAATAAATTAACCTAAGCATAGCGTAACTTTTTTGCTTTATAAACTTTTAGCTTTTTAAACTTTTTGACTCTTTTGTACTAACACTTAGCTTAAAATACACTCTGTACAGCTGTACCAAAATATTTTCTTTTTATCCTTATTCTTTAAGCTTTTTTCTATTTAAAAATTTTGTTTAAATTATTTTACTTTTTAAACTTCCTTGTTTTAAACCAAGACACAAACACACATTAACCTCGGCCTACTCCGGGTCAGGACCATCAGTATCACCGTCTTCCACCTCTACATTTTGTCGCACTGGAAGATCTTTCAGGGGCAACAGCACCCATGGAACTGTCATCTCCTATAATAACAATGCCTTCTTCTGGAATCCTTCCTGAAGGATCTTCCTGAGGCTGTCTTGTAGTTAACTTTCTTATTTTTTAAATAAGTAAGAGTACACTCTAAAATAAGAATGAAAATATAAGTACATAAACCAATAACAGTCATTGCTTATCAAGTATTATATACTGTACATAATTATGTGTGTTAGAATTTTCCATGACTGGCAGCACAGTAGGTTTCCAGCAGCATCATCATGAACATGAATAATGCATTGCTATGACTTCAGTAGGCTGTAGGAATTTTTCAGCTCCATTATAATCCTACAGGACCACTGTTGTATATGTGGTTTGTCACCGATGAAAATGTTGTTGTGTGCCACATGACTCTGTGTGTGTGTGCATATAAAATGTTAACTTGATCTTTAGTTAAATTATTCAATCTATTTACATTTAATGTTATTATTTATATATATTTCAATTTTAGTTACCATTTTACTATTTGTTATCTACTTGATTCACTTGTTTTATATTCCTTTTTCTCTTAGCTTCATTTGCATTAATTTTTTAGTACATTATTTTCCCTCAATTAACTTGTCAGTTATACATTTGCCTACTATTGTTTTGCTGGTTACTCTAGAAATCACAACATACATTTTTTGTTATTACTGTCTAAAAAACAAAATAGCCCTTTTCCGCTTTTTCAATAATGCTAGAACTTTCAGACGTTTAAACTCCATCCACTCTCTTCATCTTATGTGTTATTGCTGACATATATTTTCATAAGACATATTGACTTTATACAATCAATATTGATTTATATTTATCAACATATTTACCATTTCCATAGCTTATTACTTAGTGTATTTCTATATTTCATAATCAATTTTGCCAGTTTTTGTAGTCTTTTCAAAGAACCAGCTTACTTAAACATATTATATATATTTTATCATTACTTTCTGCAATTATCTCCTTTCTGTATTCTTTTAATTTATTGTATAAATATTTATCCTTTTTTTATCTGTTTGATCTATCAATAACTAGGAGAGGTGCATTTAAATTGCTCACGAAAGTGATGAATTTATCATTTTTTCCTGTAATTCTACTGATTTTTATTACAAAACCAGAAGTACATAGAAATTTAGACATGTTATATATTCCTGGTAGATTAAACTTTTAATTATGTAGAGGCCTTCTCATAATGCTTTGGCTTAAAACATTTTTTATTCAATATTAAAATAACTCCTTTAGCTTTCTTTGAACAGTATTTTCCTGGTAATATCCTCAGTTTTAAAAAATTTTCACTATTCTGGCCAGGCCCGGTGGTTCATGCCTGTAATCCCAACACTTTAGGAGGCCAAGGTGAGTGGATCATGAGGTCAGGAGTTCAAGACCAGCCTGACCAATATGGTGAAACCCCGTCTCTAATAAATAAAAAAAAAATAAATAAAAATAAAAAAATAAAAAAAATAAAAAAATTAGCCAGGCACGGTGGCAGGCGCCTGTAATCCCAGCTACTCAGGAGGCGGAGGCAGGAGAATCGCCTGAACCCAGGAGGCGGAGGTTGCAGTGAGCCAAGATCATGCCACTGCACTCCAGCCTGGGCGACAGAGCGAGATTCCATCTCCAAAAAAAAAAAAAAAAATCACTATTTTTGTATATCTGTTGTACATATCTTGTTATAATTTACTTTTTATTTACCCACTCTAACAATCTTTATCTTAAATGATAGTTACTATTTATTCTATTTTATTCATATATTTGGGCTGCCATCTTTATAGTTCTACTTTTCCATCTTTTTATGCTTTTTTTTTTTTTTTTTTTGCTTTTCTTTAGACAATCTTGGTCCCACTTTTGAAAAAAGTCTTAATTCCTATTATCCCTCCACTATTTAGAAAACTATTCTCTCCATTCTGATGACGAGTATCTTTGATACTGCAGTGCACACTTAATTTAACAATGCTGAGGTTAACCAATATCTTACAGCTTTTCTCCTGAACAGTTCATGAATGTTAAAACACTGAAATTCGGATCACCCGATCCCAACTTACATACTATCTCTAGTCTCTATTTCAGTAATGTATTAAAACTGTCGTCGTATTTTAGTGGAGGGCCTTTCAGAATGTCACACTGGGGGAACTGTAGGAGGCAGGGATCTTCTCCCTTTATTTGCTGACCCAGTCTTCGGCTTTTTGCTGGTTTCTTGACTCAGGGTTTACTCCTCATTGTTTGGATGGATTATTCAACTGCCCCACAACTCTTGTGGAACTGCTTCTCTGTAGACCTGTTGCCGAGGTTCAGCAAACGAACCCAAGCACCAAGCAATTGCTGTAGGCCTCTTCCTGAAATCTTCTCGTTAATAGTCCTTGGACTTGTCTAGGAGAGATGTACAACTGATGAAGAAACCACAAACTGAAGAGCAGAGTTGTCATCTTATGGGAAACCCTGAGAATCTGCAGTTTTGATTATATTCCTGTGACATGGCCTTTTTTGCAGCGTTGTTATATTCTGCAGAGAACATTACTAAGATTTATTCTCTATTTAAATGTAGATTTGACTATGTTCCTTCATGGCATTGTAGATGGTTGAATCTTCTTGCTTCAGCTACCTGCTACTACAGCTTCCGAAAGTCTTTACATAACCCTACAATGCTCTCAACCTCATCTGAAGAGTCCCTATCTTTATGGATTATCAAATAAATTAGTTTATGCTGATTCCTATTTTAGAATGTGAATTGCATTCCTCCCTCTACCTGAAACCTCGGTGTACACGTGCATGCGTGCACTCACACACACTAAAGAGAATAGAAATTGCACATTAAGAGGTATCTCTACTTTTGCTGGTCTGACAATCACTTTGTTCCTTTTTGTTATTAAAGATAACAAAGGTGGTGTCTAGAGCAAGCTGGGCTCCTCCTTGCTTGATCCTCAGGACTTCCCCAAGGATGAATCAAGTTATTCCACTTCCAAGGAGATGTGCTTACATTTGAAACATTGTATCAGTTACTTTACCACAATAAAGGTTAGTGATCACGTGGGTTGGGTATCCCCTTTTTGGCTCTTTGTCTTTCCCTCTCCCATAAACTAGATTAGCGGGTCAGTCAACCAACATCACTAGAAATATAAGGAGATGGAAATAAATGTAGGTATATTTCTCTCACCTATTGTGGCTGGACTATTTAGGTCAGCTGAGGGAAGATGCTAGAGGTAAAACAAACTATTTTAAAAATACTGGTGTGGGGCCAGGCACAGTGGCTCACGCCTGTAATCCTAGCACTTTGGGAGGCCGAGGCGGGCGGATCACAAGGTCAGGAGATCGAGACCATCCTGGCTAACATGGTGAAATCCCGTCTCTACCAAAATAACAAGAAATGAACTGGGCATGGTGCTGGGTGCCTGTAGTCCCAGCTTACTCGGGAGGCTGAGGCAGGAGAATGGCATGAACCCAGGAGACGGAGCTTGCAGTGAGCCGAGATCACGCCACTGCACTCCAGCCTGGGCGACAGAGCGAGACTCCGTCTCACAACAAACAAACAAACAAATACCGGTGTGGAAGGGTACCAAATTATTAACCTGCCCAACATGCCATCAGTTACTGTTTCTCAGTTCAGCTTTCATTCTAGAAACTACCATGTAACTGTTAACTCTCATTTGGATTACTGTCCTTCCAGCCAGTTCTAGTGAATCAAAAAATTTTTCAAGTTATTCATTTATTAAATAGTATCACATTTTTCGCATGTGGCAGGGTGGTCCAGAGGCTGCTGCCTTGACTGGAGGGGACTGGAACAACTTGTCTCTGCCATCTCTGGGCTTTTGTTCCTCTTCCACTCTACTGCTCAGTGGAAACAATGTATCTTCTATTAGATCCATTACTTCAGTTGTGCTTTGAAGAGGGCAACAGGTTTCTCAGTGGGTTTTGATTTTAGTACCTTGATATTAATCTGATTTATGAAATTCTCCATGGAGTTCATCTGAGGTTACCAGATTCTGCTGTGGAATATGAGGCCCAAGTCCCAGATAATAAAAATGTATTTTGACTTTATCTCTTGGGCATTTATTTCTCTTGGGACTGTGGTGAAGAGGTTAAATATTTCTTGGTTATTCCTAAATTATCTGGTCAAGTATCCTTATATTATCATTTTTAATGTCATACTTCATTAGCACATTTCCAACAACCTGGCAATTCCATTAACTAAGTAGCTTATTAATTTCCTCCAAATAATATCTTAAAAATCCCACCGTTTTCTCCCTCAGAAACTTACTTAGTATAGTATTCAAGGATGCTAGAATTCTACTGCTCACAAGATACTAGAGAGGACCCCTCTGAATACACACCCTGTGCTCCAACCTCCCTGCTCACGCTCAGCTGCACTGCTTCTTTCCTGCTGCTGCAAACTGTGGTTCTGATTGTTCCGATTTGGGAGACAACATGTCCCTCCAAGAACCTCAAAAAACTCAGTAATTTACAAAAGGGACCAGAGATTTCGTGTCAGCCTATGAAACTCTGCAGGGAGATCAGCAATAGGACTATTTGACGTTCCAACAAACTGGACCAGGCTCTCAAGCTTTCCCTCGTGTAGAACTCTGACAGATTCTCATTTATTGGAATAATGCAGATAAAAAAGAAAATTAAAAAGTCAATTTGTTCTGTCACTGCCAGTATTTTATCAACCTTTATAAATGGTGAAGTATGAGCTAGGAGAAATTATCTGTTGTGGCTGTGACATTTCACCCAGGATAGGCTATGCTTAGGCTTAGATACATAGTTTAGAAATGCCTACATATTAGCACAGTATCTTCTGCAAACTCCAGGCTTGGTTCTTAACTCAGAGTGCATGTATTTCACCGGGCTCTGCCAATCATCCCAAGCCTTCCTTTCCTCATGGAAAAATACTCTGTACTCCCAGATTTGAGGACGAATCACCCTCAGAAGTATCAGGACACTGAAGCCCTGGAAAAAGGAACAGGTAAGATGGGAAGTCCCAGAAACCAGGGAACTTGGCTGCAAGTGTTACCTTTATTTATTTCATATATATATTTCCAGAAGGACAACGGTTACCTGGTATTAAAACCAAACCAGTCCATCAGAATCATTGACCAAAATGAGAATTTCCCTGTTGGGCCATTAGGGTTGGAGTCTTATTAACCCTCCCCTATTCCTCTGGCCCATAATGCATTATGAGATAGAGGAGAAGAAACCAGGCACAGAAGACTCTCCCTCTCATGCTTTAACCCCATACCCTGTGCTCCACTTAAGGAGGATGTCTCCCCAGTTCTTGCCACTCCCACAATCAGAGCAGGTGAGGTTCACAATTATTCAGCCTCATCTCCAAGGAACCTTTAACCGCAACAGAGATCCTTGGGCCATTATGAGATGCTACTTTTTAGTTCTTAGTTATAGGAACATAAAATCACGTAAGAAAAAGCAAACAACACAAATACATGAAAGCCATTTACTCCTGGTGAATTCCTCGGGGTCCCAGGTTCAACACTTTCCGTGATGTCAGAGTACTCAGTCAGGGATGATGGGAACAGGGTGTCGGGAGAATAGTTTTGATGGTCTTGCCAGCAACAGCTTTTTCCTATTTTCCATAATTTGGTCTTAGCCGTTTTCCAGTTGTCTTCATGTAAATAAAGTGGCCCATGGCAATCATGATTCTGTAATTGTTACAGTGCCTTTGTAACTTGACACTGTTCCCAAATCCCCTTACTCACACCGCCCCTGTGATGGGGGTGTGAAGGGGTTGGTGGGCTCGTGCATATGAGGAAATGTGAATGATTTCATTATGACCGAATATGCTTTACTCAATAAGTACTCAAACGCTACCACCTCACTTGCAGTAGAAGTGCTAGGGACGAAACCAAGAGACTGGCTGAATAATGGGAAGGTTAAATGCATGAGTATTTTAATAGAAAAAAATATTAAAAACAAAACCAGAACTCGTATGGAAAGAGGCTTCTGACTAGGCCCTCCTTTCTAGCAGTTTGGCACCTGATAACAAAATTTGACATTGGGGGAGGGAGCAGCTTGACAAGGTCCACATGAAGCAGCCTTGAGATTTTTCGCCCACTTCCATTTCTCCTCAGCATCAAAGGAAAGTGCATGGTAAGAAGTGAATCAGACAGTGACGGATTTATACAGTTATCCTGTGAATATGTGGCAAAGCCATCAGGACGCAAATCTCCTGTCTTGAGTTCAGAGCTGTGTGCTTTAAGATTTGACCCCACTAAAGACAGCATCCTTCAGGCTGGTCCCTTCCCAAACCTACGGGGCTGTCCTTGGCCACTTTCAACCTGAAGCTGTTGAGCAGTCTTTAGGATATGTAACAGCCTATTTTTTGGACGATACAGTAACCACAACCTCTGAAGTCTCTTAATTCTCCTACTTTATACCCATGAGGTAGAGGCAGGCACACTCCAGTGAAGGAGAAGCCTCAATTCAGGTTGTACTTTGGATGAAACATCCCCTCAAGGTGTAGAAGACGACGGAGAGGTTCTGCCCAGGCTTGTATTTAGTTGCAGGAAGAGGTGAGGTCAGATCTGGGCAGGTCAGGGAGACTCCCTCGAAAAGGTCTTCCCGGGCTGACAAGAGGGCTTTTCCTATTCCTCACCTCCCTTAGGTGAGGGCTGAAAGCAGATCTCCTCACATGGGGACCTAGCTAGGAGGTCTTTTCTGAGTGGGTCCTCTGATGTCTAATTAAGTGATATCCTCTGCTGAAGCTTTTCCCACAGGTAGGGCACGTGAATGGTTTCTCCCCAGTGTGTGTTCTCTGATGCCTGACGAGGTGGTCCCTGCGACTGAAGCTCTTCCCACATTCGTTGCATCGGCAGGGCCTCACTGAGGCGTGTCCTCTCAAGTGCTTGGCGAACGCCGCGCTGTGGGTGAAGCAGCGCCCGCACTCGCTGCAGAGGTAGAGCTCTTCGGCAGCGTGCGTCTTGCGGTGCGCCAGGTACCGCCTGTGCTCACTGAAGTCCTCGCCACACTCTCCACACAAGTAGGGTTTGCCTCCCAGGTGGATTCTTTGGTGTGTTGTTAACACAGATTTCTGGCTGAAGCTTTTGCCACAAATAGTACAAAAGAAGGGTTTTTCTCCTGTATGTGTCCTCTGATGCCTGACAAGGTCTGAAGTCCAGCGGAAGTGCTTTCCACAATCATCACATCTATAGGGCTTCTCCACAGATGGAGTTCTCTCGGCCTGGGTCAAAGGGGAGGTCTCTTCCAAATTCTTCCGGTTTAGGGGGTATTTATAAGGCGCGTTCATCTTATGAACCTTTTGGTGCCTGGCAAGATGTGAGCTTCGTGTGTAACTTTTTCCACACTCCATGCATTTATAGGGTTTCTCTCCCGTGTGAGTCCTCAGGTGTCTAACAAGATGGGAGTTACAAGTGAAGCTCTTTCCACACACAGAACAGTCATGATGCCTCCCTAACAGGGGCTGGATGGGCGTAGTTTCCCGAAGGTTCACAAAACTATTCACTTGAGAAATATTTGTACCAAATCGTCTTTCATTAAGTCCACCTGGATTGTCCTCGAAGACTATTTCCCAATCTGGAGTCTGGTGAATTTCTGGTTCTCCCAAAATAGGCCTGTGTATATCCTCCAAACTCAGATCTTCCTGCTCCAGACACTCTTCCTCATCTTTACTCCTATCTCCTGTAGAAAGGGTGAGAGGAAAAAAGGGGTCATTGTAGTGGCAACAATGCCTTCTACACAACGGGGACATTTTTAAAAAGGGGTTTGAGACAGCAAGACTCAATGGAATGCCTGTCCTGTGCCAAGCACTTTCTCATATTGTTATGCTATCAACAAACCTTGGTATGCAGAAATATAATCTTCATTTTGTAAATGCAGAGACTGAGAACTGAGGGTTTAAGGGAATTGTATAGTAAATGGTTTATCTGCAATTCCAAAAGTTAGCATTTCTCTTTCACCCTTTTGTATTACATTGCTATCAGACAAATGATGGGAGGAGAAAAGAGGAGGGAAATGACAGAAGAAATGGCTGTCAGAAGGAGAAAGCAGTACTGGCTGACATGTGAGAAGAACTGATGAGAGCGGGGCCCTACAGAGAGAGAGAAGCACTGCCTAGAGGAACTGCCGGCTCAGGGTGGGTAAGACCCTTTTTGTCATTCCTCACCTGTGTAGGTAAAACTCAGGATTTCTGGCTCTTGAGTCTCTTGAGGCTCTTGGATATCTGGGACCCAAGGCTCTTCCTCTCTAACCTGGGAGATCTCATCAGGTCTGGGGATTGGAAATGCTGCTCAAGAGAGGGAAAATAGGATATCACGATTGGCTCAACAATTCCCTGTGTTAAGAGTGGACCTTTTCTATTTGGTAGGTTGTGGAGCAAATACATAGCTAGCTCAGGTCATGAAAACTTTCATCTCTTTAGTTTGTGTACTTTTAACCAAGGACTGCATATCTCTTGTCTTTCTTGTGGTTTTCACCTGCAACTCAATAATTACACCGTTGTACACCTTATCCTCTTTTCCCATACTCAAGGAAGATTATCTCCAACTCTTGTTTTAACACTCATGTGCTTACTTCAAATATTTCTGCACTAAAGCTGTAATATTACAAGTTTGTTTCCCTATTAGAGGTTTCCATTTCCAAACATTTATCTTTTACTTGAAAGGACACCATATTTTGCACCTAATCCCTAAATTTTATTGGTGGGGAGGGCATAAGAGAAGTTCACTGCATACAATCTAAGGTCTAAGATCCCCCAAAATTTCCAGCAGGAAAAAGATCTCTGGGCTTAAAATACTCTAGAATACTTGAAATTCCTTACACAGAGAGACTACAATTCCACAATCTTCTTCCAAGACATATTCTCCATAGAACTCTTTCTGTGTTGGGTCCAGATCACTCCACTGGTCCTGGGAAAAGCATACGGCCACATCCTTGAACGTTACCAGTCCCTGAAACCACATAAGGATTTCATCAAAATGTGACGCTACAGGTAGCCTCGCATTTTGTACCTGTTGAAAGTCACACAATAGGAAGACTCCATCTAGGAGATGAAAGGAGCTCAAGTGGCGGGCTGCTTAAACTCATTCTCAGGGGAGCTATGTGTCCTCTAGCATCCTGCACTGGCCCTGCCCCATCCAACGCCATCACTTTCCCTGAGGACCAGCTTATGTTCTTCTTAAGGTACTGTTTAAAGGTCTTAAAAATCATCATCCCTACTTGACACTTTAATGCTACATACATTTCTGCAAAATTTATCTTTTCTAGTCAACTTTCCTGAACGACTCTAATCACTTTCAATAGTTTCTACACTTTATAGCCAAAACAAGACTTTTTTCCTCAGTTAGATTACAATCTAAAACCATACATGAATTCTATTTCTTATCCTCCAGCCACATGGCTTAGTTTCAGGGCTTTGATCATGGTGAATACTTGCTAAATGTCTCAGCAGTACAGTCTGTCATACTTACAAATGACTATCAGATGTATTCCTTAAAAAAAACCTAAAAAACCCTCATTTGACAACTTCGAAGTTGTACTGGAGTGTTACAAAATAATCTCATTTTGTTAGCTTTTCTAGTCAACGGCAAATAAACAGGCGTTGGCGCCTATGGATCCAATAGAGGGTATGATAATTTGTCTCATTATCTCCTCCCCTTTCTCCTCCCCTTCCAGGCATCTGCAGAACTGTGAGCTTAAAACTGGCAAGAGTGTAAATGTGTATCCTGCTTCGCCTGTTTAGTATGGCTAATGCCCAGTGGTTCTTCAAACAAACTCTCTGTGGTACAGAGGTAATTAGGGCACACCTGTGATAGAGCAGTAAGAAGAGCAACCATCTCTGAGTCTCCAGAGCTCCTCTCTGCGGGAAGGTCTGGCTCCTGGGGCACTGGGACCTCTATGAAGAAAAGGCGGCAAAGATCAGTAATATGCAGCGTGCCCCAATAATGGACAAAAATCTAGGCATCCCCCACCATCTTTGGTAAGAAGGTGGCCCTATCCTTCTTATTATGGGAACCAAGACACAGGCCTAAGGGTAGCTCCCATATCCCACACCCATCACCTATAAGACCATCAGAATGCCAAGAGAACAAGCAACGATCTGCTATCTAAGCTTGGCCGTGTTTTTAGGGGACTCTAGCTGGTGGTTCTGTCTCCTCTTGACATCCTGGATTCTGTGATTTCTTTCCATGCAGTCTACCCAGCTCCCTTGGTACAGGAGAACATCCCCCTCCTTGCCTGCCTTCTGCCACAATCCCCCCTTTCTGCTGAGGCTTCCCACCGCTCTCCTGCAGGGACTGGAGCTCCTCTTCCTGGTGCAGACGCTGCTCTGCTGGTGCCCCCCGATCTGGGCTCTGTGTGGTTTCCTCAGGCGACTGCCGGGGGGTCGAGCTTTGCACAGGATCCTGTAGCTCACTAGGTGACTCAGGCTCCGCTCCTAAATGCACCGTCTCCTCTGACAGGACTTCCTGGCCGTGAACATGGACAGTCACCTGGGAATAATTCCAACTTCCAGTCACCATGGAGTCAGGAGGAAGTTCTTGGTTGTCATGGGAGCTTATTTTAGGAGAAGATGTCTAGAGAAAACACTCCCAGAGGGACCCAGACAAGGAGGGGAAACTCCAGTTCCAACTCAGCAGGCAAGGAGGAGCTGAAGCTTATCCTCCCCAGAACGAGGCAGGGGATGCGCAGGTCTGCAATGCTCTCTCACCACCCCCAGCTTTGGAACCCGTCACCCAAGGCTCCTTCCCATCTCCACCTGTCCCACCTGTAGCTCTCCTTGCTGCCTGCTTCCCTAGCTGACCAGCCAGGAAGGGGGATCTGTGACTGGGGATCTATGAGAACCTTTGAGGAAGTCACAAAATTCTTCTCTCCAGGAACCCAAGGCTCAACATTCAAAGAAGGGAAAACCAAAGCCATGACCCTTTGGTGGCTGAGACCCCTCAGACGGTCCCTACACAGGTGTTCCAAAATCCAGAAAGTCACATTCATACACACACATCCCCCTAATCCGTGGGGCTCATGGATCTATGAGCAACCCGAGGGCAGAGCCCACTAATAATTTATGGGGATCCTGCAAGCCCTCCCCCAAATCCAGCCTTCCAGCAAATAGTCCCCCTCCACATCACACAGATCAGGACTCCCCCTCCTCACCCACCGCCTTGGTCTCCTGGGTTGTTTCTGCAAACCCTCCACCAGCGTCACCGCCTCCTCGCCACTTTCTGGCCGTTGGCCCCGCACCCAGCTCTGTAGTTCTCCGGGCAGGACGGTAAGAAATTGTTCCAGTACAAGCAGCTCTAGAATCTGCTCCTTTGTCCGCCTCTCTGGTCTCAGCCACTGGTGACAAAGTTCTCGGAGTCTGATGAGAGCTTCTCTAGGGCTTGCGGCTTCCTGATAGCGGAAGCGCCGGAAGTTCTGGTGGGAGGTCTCCAGCACTGGGTCATCCCTCTGTAAGACAGACTCTGGCCTACAGGTGAAATCATCTTCCAGTTTCACCATCAGAATTCCCTCTTCTTCCCAAAGATCCTGGTCCTCTGGTTCCATGGCTGTAGCCATTTCTTGGCTTTGGGGTGGTCTCACACCATCTAGAGCTCACACTGTCATTAGACCCCAGCCTCAGCCTGGACACAGCGAGGATTTTCCGCCAAGGGCCCTGGATAGAGAAGTAAAGACAAACAAGAGTATAAGCATGAAACTACACACAAGGACAACAGTCTGAGTTCAATCATAATCCCCTATACAAACTTCTTCAAATGGTTAAATCCTCTTTTCCCCAACCTCCACAACCATAAATCAACACATCCAGTTGGGAGAGGACAATCCACAACTAAAGGTGTGGTCCTCTATCCCCCTTCCTAGGCAAGGTTCATACTCCAAGAGAAAATACTGCATTTCCACTTCATGAACACTGCCAATTCCATCTCTCAAGACTCCAAATCGGCTCCCTCCTCTTCCTTCCTACAGACCGCTTTAGTTTCAGGCTTCATCATCTGCTGCCTGGACTCTGCTCTAACTTCCTGAGATCCCTGCAGTACTCAACTATGAGCAAAGTGCAACAGAATTACCTGTGGAGGTTTTGCAAAACACAGTATCACACATTTTTCAGACACTCTGATTCAGTCAATCCAGGTAACTGTATGTTTAGAGATGCTACATGCAGTTCAAAAGTGTATCCATGGTTGAGAAACACCAACCATGAGGGAGGTGTGTAAGGTTATGAGCGAAAGTTCTGAAGCCAAGCTACCTGTGTTTGAATCCTGGCTCTATCGCTTACTAGGTATTTCCAGAGTGAGACCATAGGCAAGTTCTCATTCTCCTTATGCTGGTTTCTCTGTCTATAGAAGGGAGATAATAATGGTTTTCATCTAATAAATTTACTATAAGGATTAAATGTATTACTATCTTTGCTTAGAAGAGTGATGGCACCAGCGGTTATCTTCCTAAATTATGGTTCCAACTATATTACTCAATATTTTAAAAGAAAACCTTTTTAATGTTAGTAAAATCAGTTCCAAAATCCTGGGAATGACACGAAGCTCTTTACAATTAGCCCCCAAGCTATTTTTCAAGCTTCAGATTCTACCTTTTCCCTGTATTGCCTGGTTATCTGGTTATAAAAAATGTATTGCTGATCTTCCTACAACAGGGTGACTTTTCAGCCCTCCATGTCTTTTTGAAGGTTGTTCCTTCTGCACAGACTACCCTCCACCCTTCCCCTTTCCACGCTACATGGTGTGTTCTTTCTTTTTAACGGGTCTTGTCTTCTTTATTCCCATGATTTGCAGCTTAGGTCCCTCTCACTTCTCATCTGGATGACTGCAACTGCCTCCAAATGTGAGCTACCTGCCCCCAGATTTGTCACCTTCACATTCCCACTATGACCAGTACGAGCGCTACTGGCAAATGTGCTCATGTCCCTTTCCTATCTAAGATCCTTCCATCACTCCCTGCTGTCTTGTTAAGTGAAACACAAACTTCAAAGCATTCTACATTAAGTTGATGTTCATCTTGTTATTCTCTTCGCCCTCCTCTCTAATCCTTTCAGACATCACACATACACGTATGTACATGCAAAACACACGAGTCCCATGTTCTTTAGCTTTTGAACATGCTGTTTCTTCTGAATCTTTATCCTTGC